GGGGTAGGTCCATGCGTTCCATCTAGAATCGAGATACGAATTCGCTTAACATTTCATTGTCCTTTTGTCTCACTTTGAAGAGGCCTGACTTCCTAGTCGCAACCGTTATTGCTCCGGCGTGTGCTTTTACGAATGAATCTGCAAGCATGGCGAAGGAATCGATGGAATTGGGTGGCAAATTGTGGTACCATATCATCGCCCCTTTCGATAAAGTCTCTCCAAACTTTTTCAATAGAACGGATTCAATCTCATCGTCTTCTAAGTCATTCCCTTTATTACGCATGTATAAGAAGTAACATGCTCATTAGGGTCGGTGGTCCCATTGTATTTGGGAATTTTTGGCATACGGAATTTCTTCGGGATGGGCTTCGGAGCCGCACTCTGCGGGAAAGGCTTCTGCACGAACTTCTTCGAATCCAGACCCTTTAGAATCGGGGGTGATCCCGGTATTTGATCAACCTGTGAGTTGTACGTATCTACCTTTTTATCATTGGCCTCGATTTTCTTTTCACCTGATTCGATCCGTTTAGTGAGCTCCCCGAGCATCTTCATAATGGCGGGGTCAATCCCCGACTCATTGGCGTTCGGTCTCTCCGGTACAGGTTCGACTATGTGAATAACTTCTTGTGATGTTTCGAGCTCTATTCTGCTTGGTGCTCGAATCTGATTTTGGAGTTGTGCTATCGCAGCTTGTTGAGTCTGCAACATCTCAAATATCATTCGAAGGCTAATTTTGCCTTCTTTACCGCGCTGTGCATTTTGATCGGCTGCTCGAGCATCCCTCCGGATTCTATTCTTAAGGTCGACGCCTAAATTCCCATTGATGGAAATACGAGAGCTGACATCGACTGGGTCTACGGCCAGCGGTCCGGCGGGGTTGACTGGAGGTACTCCGTTTTCCGGGGCGACTATGTTTTCGTTTTCTCCATGAAGACCAAGGTCGTTATCTGTGTGAGTGGGTGCTAGTTGAGAGTTTGACATGTTGATACCTGAAATCAATGACACTTACGAGAACAAGCGTAAAGCAGTGTATATTATGGGAATTAATACCAGGAAATCACTATTATCCTTAGCCCACGGTGGGCGCCAAACTGTTTACCCTAAAAATTGATAATAATTAAACTTATAATATGGTTTTAAGGATACGTGATTCATCTAATATCAATTGATGAATATGAAAATTAGTAACAGAAATTAACTATAAGGTAAGGCAAACCAGTGTTTGAACGGGATTCTGTCCTGAAGTTTGAATACCCTCGAACCGATCGATGCAAGAACAGTTAAAAATATAGCAATCTGATGAACAAGAATATAAGCTAGAAAGTATTGTATTGCTTTGATATGTGTGAATGTAATGTGCTTACAAAATGATTAGAACCCTCTTTATATAGTAGAGGAATCCTATCTATGGCACAATTCTAATTACGGAAGCAAATCGCATGAATAGCCTAAACAACCGCCCTTGATTTGATCTTCCGAGATTTCCGCCATTATCTTTGATCGGTCACGGATATCTCGCTTTTCCGTTATTGCTCTTTGCTCGAAGTCTGCCCTATTTGGTCTCGATCGGTGCCGGCCTCGATCTCGACAGGCACTTCGATTCTCGAACTCGGTACCTTGTCCTCGTGTTTTGATCTGATCGGCCGACCTTTGGTGTAATTTCCTGGCCTCGATCAAATAGTAAAATCGGGTAGACCCGGTTTTAACTGTATACATGGTGGGAGTTATTTCATGTAAACGAGATATTAGCTATGTGTTTGCAATACAACATCTTGGATTTTGCTGTCAAAAAGTTTATCTATTTATATCGAAATTCCTAAAATATCAGGCATTCTACTCAAAACTTAAGAATTTGAAATAAAAAATTGAAAACTTGGAAATGAAACTTATTGCATTGTTAATGTTACCATACAAGAAAATATTGAACTTTTATTAAGCTTGGTGACGATCAAAGTTGGTACTTAGTAACTAATTTGAAACTTAAAAAAAGAAAACTAAATCAAAAATAGGTTGAAGAAGAAAAAAGTTCACTCGGTTGGATACCTTTACCTTCTCTTTTCCTTTATTTCAATTGTCTTCTCCTTTCACCTCTCACCATTTCCTCTCACAACAGTAGATATGAACGTTAAACCCGTGTCAATAATACTTCAAGAATTATATCCTACAAATCAACGATGTCATCGTTGATCAAAACTAGGAATTGAACATATAGATACTTTCAAATTCAATAATATTGATACAATTACAAATTATGCCATCATGTCAAGAGATATAACAATAGTTTTGTAGTGAAACTATTTTTTTTTCCTCAAAATATGAGAATGATATAGGCATAGCAATCTGTGGGTGGATCGACGGTAAACTATTTTTTAAACTGGGTAAAATTAGGTATTTCTGTATAGTCAATTGGCTACAATGATTAACAATGTAACCTAGCTTTTTACTAAAGTATACTGTACATAATTATGCCAAACAATGGTTGTATTAGATTTCTAACACTAGAAGCTTATAAAGCCAAAGGGGTATACATGATTTGACATGGAGATCTAAAAGAATACATCTTGACGTAACAACGTCTGAAAAATCAATGTATACGGTTTGGTACCTTCCAAAGAATTTAGCGAGGCTAACGCATAGCCTGGTTGGGCAGCCGTGCAACCTTTGCGCATTAGTCACGCAGTTAAAAAAAAAAAAAACCTTTGTGTGAAGTCACGCCGTAGCGTGTGGTCCACTTTTTACCTTAATGTAGATCCATTTCTTCCTTAATAATGTTAAAGTTCTTATATATTGTCATTGCATAGAAATTAAACTTTCAATTATTATATCTCAACCGAACAATGTAATCATTATAAGAATTAGTTGAGACTATTAGATTTTTTTAATACAAATTACTATTATATATACTGGTTATATTAATAATAAATGCTATTCTTGTGAAAGTTGATATAGCTTTTCTATATATTTTGCATATGCTCAACAGTAGTGCAATTACTTTAAAGTGAAACTAAGACATCTCACAGATGAACATCTGAAGCAGTCGTACTCAGGGGCGAAGCTACGTAGCCCCTAACTGACCACACTTCATCAAAAAATTACACGGCGTATATAGGTAAAATATTAGATTTTAGTGGTATATAACATATATTGAACACCCTTTATCGGAGATTCTTTTTACTTCTTTCAAGTTTGAACCCTAGATGAAATTTCTGACTTCACCACTGGTCGTACTCAATTCCTCCAAGATTTAGTCATATCAAACCTTTAAAGCAGAATTGGTACAGCTCGCAGAGGCAACGATTTGGCTAGTGTAAGGCCAAACTTCTCTTTGTTAGATCATGTTTTAATGATGCAAATAATATACATGTGCAGGAAATCAAGTTCAAGAAGTAAAGAAGACTGCTAGAATGGTTCATGATGTACAAGGAAAGAAATCAATCAGCATGTGATCAGCAAATCTGGATTGGTCTCGTAAATCTGGGCGCAATCTAATCAACGAATCAATCAGCAATAACAATGATTAGCTGAGCTGGAAAAAATCAAATAAGCCTTGGACAAAGGCACATGGGCAGAATCACGGAAGACTAAAGGATACGAGGAGATCGGGGAAGCGACCACATTTGGAAGATCCAACAATCAAGGAGAAATCAAGTGAAGCAATCCTCTGCTAAAGGAAAGCAATCAAGAGAAGCAACGGCTCATTCCTTATTCTTGGAAAGAATCAATTCTTTCCAAGGATCAAATCTCTTGGGTTGTCAAGCCTCTACCATCCATCGAAGTATTTATACACCCTTGTAAACCATAGCTTAGATATACTTTGATAAAACCAAATCATTCTCTTTATTCTACTGCAAACAAGCATTGTAGTTCACTAAGATATACTGTGTAACAAGTCAGGGATAGAAAGAGAGCACACAACTGGTGAGGCATTGTATCAAAAACGAGTGCTAGTGAAACTGAGCGATATACACCACATCTGTACTCGGAAGAAACTCATTTACTGAAGAGAACTCCCTTGCAACCCAAGGAGACTGGATTAAGATTCACATTGAATCCGAACCAGTATAAAAATCTTGGTATTTTTAATTCCTGCAATTATTTTATGCATTTTACTTTCCGTTACCATATTGCTAAATTATCATATTCAGTCGACTACTCAAGTTATAAGTCAACTTATAAGCAATTAATTTGAAGTATTTACAATTCACTCCCCCCCCCCTTGTACTTTCAATTGGTATCAGAGCTTGGCTCACATTTTACCTTTTGCTTAACAGCTTGTGAGAAAAGATCATGGCAAATCAAGTTATCATAGGAGCTCTCTTTCAGGAAGGAACTTCACAAGTTAGACTACCATACTTCAATGGACAACATTTCTCTCACTGGAAAGTACGAATGGAAACTTTGCTAAAGCATACGATGTCAAAGTCTGGAGAGTCATTAAAAAGGGAAACTATCCCCTACCTACTAGCACTCCACCACTTGCTGATCCTGATGATATAGATTCATACTCAAAGGAGCAACTGGAAGCGGTACAAGTGAATAACAAGGCAAGAAATCTGCTTCACAATGCTATAAGTGGTGAGGAATACGAGAAAATATCGAGTTGTGATACAGCCAAAGAGATGTGGGATAAACTTGACGTCACCTATGAGGGAACCAACAAAGTAAAGGAAACTCACATCAACATGCTAGTTCATGACTACGAACTCTTCTCAATGAAAGAAGGAGAATCCATTGAAGAAATGTTTGCCAGGTTTAGTAAGATAATTAGTGACTTAAAGGCATTTGGAAAGCCCTAAACCAGTGGTGATCAAGTTAGAAAAATTCTCAGAAGTCTGCCAACCACTTGGCAGACCAAAGTAGTCACTCTGGAATCTCAAGACCTAAACAAATTGTCCTATGATGAACTGCGAGGAGAACTCATTGCTTTCGAAAGGACGCATTTGAAAAAGACAAATCAAGAGGAGAAAAAGAAAATAGTTGCATTCAAAACCTCTACTGAAATGGCTGAAAATGAAATTGATGATCCTAAAGCTCTACAAGAAGAGATTGCTATGATGTCTAGAAATATGGATGGGTTGATGAGGAGATACAGAAATACAAAGAAAGGAAGATTCCCACCAAGACGATCCAGGCAATACAATGAACAGGATAATAACGATGGAAAATGCTATGAATGTGGAAAATTTGGGCACATTCAAGCTGAATGCCCAGAACTGAAAAGGAATATCTCTAGAGGCTTCAACAAGAACAAATCCTTCGGAAGCTGGAGCGGTGAGGACGAATCAGACCACGAAGAAATAGCAAATCTTTGTTTCATGACAATTCTGGAAAATGAAATAAACAAAACCTCAGGATGCTGGACAGATGAAGATGATTCAGATGACGAGAACTGTTTCATGGCACGAGGTGAAACTAGTGAGGTAAGATCTTATGACTGCGAAAGATGTAATGAATTGCAGGATATTCTTGATTCAACCTTAGAAGAGTCTCAAAAAATGATGAATGAACTTAAGAGACTCACTAGGGAGGTTAAAGACTGGGAACTCAAACATGAAGTATGTGAAATAGAAAAAGAGGTACTTCAAGAAGAGTTTGAGGAGTTGCAAATGCAGCTTAACAGCTTGCACAAATCCACCAGTCATAGTTCTGTTAGGTCAAACCAGACGACTTACAAGTCAACTGGAAAGGAACCAATCAGAACCAAGTCGACCAGTCGGTCGGACCAGATGACTTACAAGTCAACTGGGAAAGAACCAGCTAAATCTAAGTCGGCTAGTTCTAACACTTATGAAAGACCTATAAACAGGTCTGGAGCTAAATGTCATTGCTGTAATAAAAGTGGGAATAAATATTCCGGTTGTCACTTTCGTAAATCAAATGTGTCAGGATGGGTTTGGAAACCAAAAAATTCTGAACCTAGTAACACTAACCCACCAGGACCTAGGCAAGCTTGGGTACCTAAAAGAAAGTGATCATCTTGTCTTGCAGGAACACCACAGAGTAAGCCGCAAAGGAAAATGGTATCTAGATAGTGCGTGTTCCAGTCATATGACCGGTGACAAAAACCTATTTAAGGAAGTTACAATGATCGATGGAGGAAGTGTAAAATTCGGAGACGATTCAAGGGGCAAAATAGTTGGCACTGAAACAGTTCCTTTTAATAACAACTGTGACATTGCTGAAGTATATCTCGTTGATGGCCTAAACTATAATCTCTTGATCATAAGTCAACTCTGCGACTCAGGATATGAGGTAAAGTTTAAAAGAACAGGGTGTGCTATTAAAGACGAATCAGGTAAGATAATTCCTCCTGGAAAAAGGTATGGAAATGTTTATATACTTGATGGATTTGAAAAGATAGATGGCCACATTTGCTTATCCTCTATGTCTGATGATCCATAGTTATGGGATAGAAGACTTGGCCATGCTAGCATGCATTTGATTGAAAAACTGTCCAAACATGATTTAGTTATTGGTTTGCCTAAACTGAATTTCTCTAGAACTCATATTTGTGATGCATGTCAAATGGGTAAGCAAACCAGAAATTCTTTCAAAAATAAAGATATAGTATCTATTTTCAAAACCTTTGCAATTACTTCATATGGATTTATTTGGGCTACTAGAACTGCTAGCATAGGAGGTAAGAGGTATGCTTTTCTTATTGTTGATGACTTTTCACGTTTCACTTGGGTAATCTTCTTGTCTCATAAGGATGAAGCCTTAAGAAATTTTGAAGTTTTCTGCAAAAAGGTTGAAAGAGAAAAGGGATATCTGATCTCAAAAATTCAGAGTGACCATGGAGGAGAATTTGAAAGCAGAGCTTTTGAAGACTTCTGCAACGATCAAGGATACACTCATAATTTTTCTGCACCACGCTCACCACAGCAAAATGGGATTGTGGAAAGGAAGAACAGAACTCTCCAAGACATGGCAAGAACCATGCTACTAGAACATTCATTGCCAAACCATTTCTGGGCAGAAGGCGTAAGTACTGCTTGTCACATCCTCAACCGTTGCCTCATAAGGCCAATTCTGAAGAAGACCCTTTATGAACTCTGGAAAGGTAAACGTCCAAATATCAGTTACTTTCATCCCTTTGGAAGCAAATGCTTTATTCACAATAACGGTAAAGATAATCTTGGGAAGTTTGATCCAAGAAGTGACGAAGGTATTTTTCTTGGTTACTCCTTAAATAGCAGATCTTTTAGAGTCTACAATAAACGTACTTTATGTGTAGAAGAATTTGTACATGTTATATTCGACGAAAATAATCCCTTGGTCGAGAAAGGAACTATTGCAGGTGACGAAGATCAAACTCAAGAAGCTCAGGACAAAGAAAAATCACGGGAGTCGACTAGCACATCTGGGGTGATCGAGTCAACTGGAGAAAATAGCAGCAATACTCCAGACCTACAAGTCGAGTCGACTACAAATATAATTCGACCAAATGAATGGAGAAGCGAACCCGAATATCCTCAGAAAGGATCCAAACGAAAGAATGAAAACCAGGGCTGCCCTCAAGAAGAAAGCAAAAAATATTGCATTGATTTCTCAAAGTGAGCCAAAAAAGGTAGAGGAAGCACTGAAGGATTCAAGCTGGGTGCAAGCTATGCAGGAGGAATTAGATCAGTTTAGCAAGAATCAAGTGTGGAAACTAATACCTAAACCTGAAAAATGTGTCTGTGATCGGAATAAAATGGGTATTTAGAAACAAATTGAACGAGGATGGAAAGGTCATAAGAAATAAAGCAAGACTGGTTGCACAGGTCTATTCACAGCAGGAAGTAGTCGACTATGATGAGACTTTCGCCCCAGTAGCTCGTTTGGAGTCTATACGAATTCTTCTGGAATACGCATCCTTTAAAGGATTCAAGCTGTTTCAAATGGATGTTAAAAGCGCCTTTCTGAATGGATTTATCAAGGAAGAAGTTTTTGCAAAACAGCCTCCAGGCTTTGAGTATTCAAAATTTCCATACCATGCATACAAGATTACCAAAGCACTGTATGGGTTGAAACAAGATCCACGTGCTTGGTATGATAAACTGAGTACTTTTCTTATTGATCATGGCTTTACCATAGGTAAAATAGACATTACTTTGTTTATTAAACGATCATCAGAAGGTAATCTCATTATTCAAATTTATGTTGATGATATTATATTTGGTAGTGCTAACCCTCTTATGTGCAAGGAATTTTCAAATCTTATGCAAAGCGAGTTTGAAATGAGCATGAAGGGTGAAATCACGTTCTTCCTTGGGCTACAAATCCAACAAACCAAAGAAGGAACTTTTATTTGTCAGACCAAATATACAAAAGAACTGATTCAAAAATTTGGTATGAACAATGCAAAATCAATTGGCACTCCAATGAGCCCCACTACAAATCTAGACAAAGATGAACAAGGCACCCCAGTTGATGAAACCAAATATAGGGGAATGATTGGATCACTGCTATATCTGACAGCAAGTCGAACAAATATTATGTTCAGCGTATGTAAATGTGCCAGGTTTCAGTCAGCTCCCAAGGAGTCACGTTTGACTGGTGTAAAGAGAATCATTCGATATCTCATTGGAACAGTATCTCATGGATTGTGGTATCCTCGCTCTAACTCTTTTAAATTAGAAGGTTTTTCAGATGCTGATCTTGCAGGTGATAAAGAAGATAGAAAGAGCACAAGCGGCACTTGTCAATTACTAGGAAAGGCATTAATATCTTGGAACAGTAAAAAGCAAGCATCAGTCGCTTTGTCCACTACTGAAGCTGAATACATTGCTATTGGACAGTGTTGTGCACAACTACTGTGGATGTCTCATCAATTGGGTGACTATGAGCTTTCGTTTAAACTTATACAAATTTTTTGTGATAATTCTAGTGCTATTTGTCTTTCAAAAAATCCTGTGCATCATTCTAGAGCAAAGCATATAGATATTAAGCATCATTTTATTAGAGGTCATGTTCTTAAGGGAGATATAGAAATAGTCTTTGCTGGCACCTCTGCTCAATTAGCCGATATTTTTACTAAGCCTTTGTTAGAAGAAAGATTTTGTACTTTGAGAAAATTACTTGATATTATTTTCTTTTCTAATAACTCTTAGGACCTATGTTCTCAGTTACTTTTAAGTGCTATAATTGTCCTTTTCCCACGCATTAATTACGCCTCCGATTTTTTCCCTCTCTTTTCACTTCGTTCACATCAGTTCGCAGTTCGCAAATGGAAAGTAAATCATCACGTCTTCTCATCTGACAACTTTTCCTTTTCTGTACTCAACCGTCAAAACCCTCTTCTTAAGTTAGAAAACCCTTTCAGTCACTCTCATCTCCATCTTCTCTCCAAAACCTCGAGCAAATCTCCTCTTCTACAATGGCGAAACACTCCAAGAATCCCTCTGCCTCCACCAGAAAAAGTACCCGCTCTAAGGCAAAACCCCCTTCTGCGCCTCCTGAGCAAGTAGACCTAGGGTCTGATCACTCTGAAGGCTTCGCCTCATCTCAGGGTGATTTCTCTGAACACTCCCAACTTCTAGGAGAAAAAGCCTTAGGCAAACGACCCATGGAAGATCCTCCCATTTCATCCACCCCAAAGAAATCAAAAGTTGATTTCTCTGCCTCACTCGAGTCTGACCTAAATTTCTGGGATACCCCAAATAGGGATCTTTTCATTACTCTTAAGGACAAGCCCATCGCCCATGGAAGGATCGTGGATCTTGATGATATGGAAGCCCTCAACTGTAAGGTTAAAGAGCTCTTTGTTTATCAAGGGTGGGAAAAATTCCTCTCTATTCCTTCGCCTAAGGTATATGAACCCCTGGTCAAAATGTTTTATGCAAATCTTCGCTCCAGTAAACCAGATAGGCTAGAATATCTAGTGCTAGGTAAGCGCATTGTTCTTGATTGTGCCTTGTTTGACTCTCTTTTCCAATGTCATTGCTCTGGTTTCCCTACTCTTTTTAAAAATGTGTGGCCTGAGAATTTTGAAATTGCTTTTGACCAAGCCAAACAGTGCATTGTTGAGTGTCCCTCTGAAATTCTTCCAAACCAATTGGGCCCCAGTGATGTAATTTTTTAAACTCGGGTTCTAGCCCATATTGTGGCAACCACTCTGCTTCCCCGTACTGGTTCCTTTTCAATCTTCTCTCAAAGGGATACATTCTTTGTCTACTGCCTCATCACCAAACTCAAACTCAAGCTTTCCTCCTGGGTCATCAATTTCATGATAGAAAGTGCTGAAGATCCCACTAGTTTACCCTATGGTATGGCAATCACTCATATTCTGGAAGCCCATCAAATTTCTCTATCCAACTATCCCTTCATTACTGTCTCCAAGTCCTACAATTCTAGAGCTTTTGCTAGTATGGGCTATGTGAGTATCAAGGGCTCCTAGGTTAAGAAAAGTGAGAGTGAAGCAAAGCAGGCCCCTATGGAAACTAAACCTTCATCAGTTGTTCCTCCTCCTACTCTTGTCAGTTCTGAGCTTAGTGAGAAGCTTAGCTCTATTGACTCCAAACTCTCTGACATCAAGAATCTTCTTTCCGCCATTCAGTCCACTGTGGGTGACATTCATGCTATTTCAAAGGAAACAGGGTCTGACGTGTCAAAAATCAGAGCTGCTGTTCTCAGAGTAAGGGAGAATGCTGTCAAAGCCTTCAAGGAGGTTCACGACAGGCTGGATGGTATGAGCGTCGCTGCAAATACTAGCTTCGAACAATTAAAAGAGGCCATCTGCAACACCCTTACCTATTTTCTGCACCGCTAGTGTGGATGTTTTTCAAAACTATGTTTTTTTTGACAACTTGTTTTGGTGGTATTGTGGGCTGTGGTTTAAGCCCTTGGATAATTCTGTTTTTTTTGCTACTATGGGCTGTTTCACCAGTCGCCGGATAATCTCTTTACCTTTTCTGCTTTAGTGTTATCTATGTTTATAATCACTCTTTGCTGATGGCAAAAAGGGGGAGAAAAAGCCTATGTTATTTTGCCTCTGTTATGTGTATATGTACAGGTACAAGTGTATATGTACAGGTACAAGTCGACTATGTGTCTATATGTGTATGTGTACAGGTTGACTGCACACATTTTATATGTGTATAGGTAGCATATATTGTATACTGTACAGGTACAGGTACAAGTCGACTGCACACATTGAGGGGGAGAGTCATGGACAGGTCAAGTCGACTGCATACATTGAGGGGGAGTCAAGCGTACATACATTGAGGGGGAGTCAAGCGTACATACATTGAGGGGGAGTCAAGTCGACTAGTAAAACATAGGGAAGTCGACTGGTGTTTACTTCTTTACCTTATTATATTATTTTTCCATCATCAAAAAGGGGGAGATTGTTAGATCATGTTTTAATGATGCAAATAATATACATGTGCAGGAAATCAAGTTCAAAAAGTAAAGAAGAC